TCTGAGATGAACACACATTTCTCAGATGAACACATACAAATGGCAAATAAATATATTAAGAAATGTTCACCATCACTGGTCATTAGAGAAATGCAAATTAAAACAGCACTGAGATTTCATCTCACTCCAGAAAGAATGGCTGTCATCAAGAAATCAGCTGATAACAAATGTTGGTGAGGCTTTGCGGAAAAAGTGCTCCACTGTTGTGAGAGTGTAGACTGGTGCAGTCACTGTGGAAATCAGTATGGAGATTTCTCAGAAGACTAGAATTGGAAGTTCCATTCAATGCAGCTATTGCGCTCCTGGGTATTTTCCCAGAAAAGCTGAAAAAGTCATGTCACAGTGATATATGTGCACCCATGTGTATAGCAGCACAATTTGTAGTAGCTAAATCTGGGAAACAACCAAAATGCCCATCAACCGCAGAGTGGATGAAAAAGATGTGGTATTTTTATATAATGGAACATTTCTCAGCTATAAAAAGGATGATTTGAGATCTTTATAGGTAAATGGAGGCAACTGGAGACCATCCTCAGAAGTGAAATAAGTAAGAATCACATTTATAAACATCACATTGTCACTCTGGTGTAAAAAGTAATAAAAACTGTAGGAATAATAAGTTCCAAAATGTGTAATAGCTATTGTAAAAAAGAAAAGAAAAATGCTCTAAAGAACATAACTGCACATATGTTTAAGTGTATAAGATAAATAACCACTTTACTAAGTTTTTGTTGGATCATTGAACAAAATGGTTTATGCCCTCATTGTTTGACTGTACACTTCCTATGCTTTAATTTTGTGACTTGAACAACTATTTCTAAGATGGCAGTATGTAATTTACCACTAGTGATTTCTTAGCATTAATTTTTTTGAAATTCTGTATTATTTCTACCCTTTTTTGTTGTATTTTTTTTCTTTAAATAAAAAAAGAAAAAAGATATTTTTATAAAATGGGGAACTACTCAGTTATAAAGAAGGATCATATTGGGGCTTTTATAGGTAAATGGATACAACTTGAGACCATATTCATAAGTGAAATAAATCAAACTCACATATGTAAATACCATATTGTCTCCCTAGCGAAAGAAACTGAGAATAAAAAAGATACAAAATCTTCAATAAGTATTGTGAAAGAGTTAGAAATTTCTCAAAGGGGAAAAATAATTCAGAGAAAAGGAGAAAAGAAAGAAAGAGAAAGAAAAAAGATACAAATTTGTATATACATACTTAAGATAGCTAGAATGACTTATGGTTTATGTTGGTGGCCCCCAGGCCTCAGGTATTTGCATTATGCATTTGTGACTGGTTCATTGTCTAGCACTTGGATTGGGGGTGTGAGTGCCACACTGGCCTGGGGGTGAAGCCAGGATGTGATGTAATGGCAGTAAGAAGGTGTGCCTCGCCCTCTTGCCGGTTTCTGCCTTGCTGTTTGCAGCCGCCATGAATTGTGGCCCAGCCATGCCAGCTTGTCTTGGAGCCAACTGAGTGTGGACTGAAACCTCCAAAAACTGTAAGAAATACACCTTTCCTTTCCTAACTTTGGGCATCAGGTATTTTGTTTCAGGGAAGAATAAAAAGTAACTAAGACACTGTGCTACTAATTCTATTGGTTTTTGGAACAAGATAATTAATATTCATAGGATTAGATCAATTTTGCATGATTATATCTGGTAAACTGAGTAACTCTTTTACGGATAATTATGCAAAATAACAACCTTAGTTATTCCCACCACCTTGTTTCAAAAGCCTATACTGTCATTGTTTTGGGTTTTTCTTACTGTTATTTATTTGTCTTTTTTTCTTGTAATTTGTTTAGTTTTGTTTTGTTCTTACCTCTAATACAGAAAGGATAGGTGTACATGTATAGGCTTGTACATGACTAGAACTTCTCCTAAAGAGTTGACAAGAATTGATTTTATTATGTGTGATGGTATAAATACCTACTTTGAAGAAAACAAGACATTATGGTGGCCATTGCTGATTTCTTATCATCTTGTTGTGAAGTCCGTTAATGCTTTTATTCTTTGTTTTGATTGGTGTTAGTCTGTTTTATTATTTAATTTCAATATCTGTGAAGGTGTGGACAGCTATTTTGAAGAGAACAAGAGACATTAGGGTAGCCATTGTTGATTTTCCTGTTGTCTGGTTTTGAAGGCCTGTAATGATTTAATTCTTTTGTTTTGAATGATTTTATACTATTTTTGTCTTGTCTGAATTCATTGTGTGTGAAGATATGAATAACTATTTTGAAGAAAACAAGAGACATTATGGTAACCACTGTTGATTTCCTGCTCTCTTGGTTTGAAATCCTGTGTTGATTACAGTGTTTTGTTCTGATCTGCTTTGTTCGGTTTTGTTTTGTTTTATTCTCTTTAAAATAAAAAAAGAAATTAAACAAGAGAAAGACATAAAAGGAATATGGGTAAGAAAGAAGTTAAATTATGTTTACTGATGACATGATACTCTACATAGAAAGCTCTCAAAAGACCCCCAAATTCCACCAAAAGACTCCTAGAATCAATAAACAAATTTGCCAGCATATCAGGATGCAAAGTCATCACTTAAAAGTCGATTGCACTCCTGTACACAAACAACAAGTTCACTGAAAGTGAAATTAAGAAAACAGCACTATTATAATAGTATTAAGAAAAACAAAATCCTTAGGAATCAATGTAACAAGAAAAGCAAAAGACATATATACTGAAAAACTACAGTACTCTGAAAAAGGAAGTCAAAGAGAGTATTAGAAAATCAAAAGATATACCTTGTTCTTTGATAGGAAGAACAAATACAGTGAAAATGGCCATACTTCCAAATCTATTATATCAATTTAACACAATCCTAATCAAAAGATAGCATACCTAATAGAACTGGAGAAAACAATTCTAAAATTTATATGAAACCAGAAAAGAACTAGAATAGCAAAAGCAATTCTGGGCAAGGTCAAGGCAAGGCACATCACATCACAATGCTCAATTTGAAGTTATACTACCAAGCTACTGTGATAAAAACAGCATGGTACTGAAAAAAAAGAGACCCAAGGATCAACGGAACAGAGGTTGCACAAACCACTCCAAACACACTCAGCTACCTTATCTTTGACAAAGGGATCAATACTTTCACTGCAAGAAGGACAGCTTCTTTCATAAATGGTGCTGGGAAAACTGGCTTTCTACATGTGAAAAAAATTGAAACTAGACCCATACTGTTCACGATGCATGACCTTTATCCCTTTATCCTAATTCACCTAATGAAGTCCATGTATCCATTGGAAGGTCAGAATTTGTTTTAAAGTAGTACAAAGAAAGATTGCCTTGAATGGTAGCACACACCTACAATCCCAGCTACTTGAGAGACCAAGGCAGGAAAACTTCAAGTTTGAGGCTAGCCTCAACAATTTAAATGATACCCTGTATTAAAGTCAAATTTTAAAAGGAGGTATAGCGTGGTTCCCTGACTTCAATTCCTGGGGATAGGAAGGGGTAACAAATTATTTTTGTCATTTAGAAGTAGGATTGTGCACGCAGGTTTATCATCTTGGGAGAGGATCTCCCAAATCCTTCATCTTTGCTTTTTATTTACTAAGGGTTCATGCAGTTCATCCAGTACCTTTCTTCAGGGTAGTAAAATATGATCTAGGACTTCATGGTCCTGTGTACAGCGGGAGGGCTTCTGAGCCCCAACCCACAGGCCACATGGTGAACTCTGGAGACACTACATGGACTGTGTAGACAGAGGGTACTGCCAATCATCTCCAGGACAACCCCCAGCACAAAGGAGCATCCTTCCCCCAAAACCAGAAGTGCTGAGGATGCTTTATGGCCAAGACCCTTAAACTGGAGCCCCGAGACCAGCAATATAAGCCCGATAGAGGAACACGGTGTGATGCCAGGCCTCAAGCCCCGCCCCTGATCTACCAAGTTAGATTCTAGAGATGCAACCCAGACACCCTTTGGGGACCCAGGATACATGCTATAGCTTATGGAAGAAAGAAGGCTTCTGCTCCTGTGGATAATGGTGAGGGAGAAGGAAAAAAAGAAGGAAGCTGAATTTGTGCTGCTTACTCCTTGGTGAGCTGCAGATAACAGATGAGGAGGCAAAGCAGGGTAGCAATAGAAACACCTGAACAGGTAGCTCCTGACTTCCTCAAACAACTTCCTGCTGCTGGCTCCTGACACACACATGTATGCAAGGGGCAGGGACAGGGGAAAGAAAAATAATTAAGATGTGTTATGTACATGTACCAATTCCCCATAATGAATGTAATCATCATGTACTAAAGTTTGTGCACACATTTTTTTTTGAAATTTTAAACAAAAAGATAATGGTGGTGCATGTCTGTAATCCCAGTATTTGAGAGGCTAAGGCAGGAGGATTACTGTAAGTATGAGGCCACCCAGCTACATAGCAAGACCCTGTCTCAAACAAACAAACCAAAAAGATGCTAGGGCTGCACACAAGATCTTGATTCTGGGCTGATTAGGGTTGGTGCTTCCTGTGCAGCTGCCTGGCCCTGGCTCTCACTGTAGTTTTCGAGGCCTCTGAGGTACGGCTGGGACCCACTTGGTCTTGGTGTGGTGGTCCTTCTGGAGGCCTCAGTGTGATGCCCATGTGCATCCAGGGTGGCCCACTCTTCTAGATCTCCCCCTCTCCGACAGCCTGTCTGCTAACCCAGGGCCTTTCCACACCACCATGGAATTTTCAGTGGCTTGAGAACACAGAACCCCTTCAGTCACTCCTCTGCCTCTCCATGCTGGGCCACCAACTGGATTCGCCCAGAGGCTTAGATAGCCTTTGCTATAACCATGCATAGGAGGACCGGGAGGAGATCAGGAAATCAGGGAAACACTGATTCTGTAACCCTAAAACACAAAGGATATATAAACCACCTGGCACTTCCTACATTCACTTTTATATTTTAGTTTTTATATTTTGTTTGATTTATTGGAAGGATCACTTGGTTCAGATTCATACTTGCTAGATTAGATATTCTGATTGCCTTCTCATTTTTTTCAACATTTTATTTGGCGGTTAAATAGCTTTTATCAAGGCAACATGACAAAGGGTACTAACATATTAGTGTTGTTAATGTCAGGAACAGATGAACTTAATGCGGAAGAGGGATGTGCTAGAGGTGAGGGGCTGGGTGGCGTGTCCCCAGAAGGCATGGCTAGACAGAGAAGCCGGGGCGTTTGTGCGACCTTGGTGTCAGGACTGAGGAACTACTCGCAGCAAAACTGTCGGCATGACTTGGATCGGCCCATTTCCTACTTTATGGTACTGCCCTGGAGACTCAGTATCCTGGAAAAGAAAATCTGATTAGCATACTGTGCGTGACACACACAGGGAAGACAGGGCCAAGGCTGGTAAGGAGGAAGACACCCTGATTATCAGATCCCAGAAACTACTGAAGAGAGAGCAAGTGATTCACCAGAAGTGTACCGGGGCAGGGAGTGGTCAGCGACACAGTGCTTGCCTAGCATGCACAAGACCCTGGGTTCTGGGCTCCAGTGATGCCTGTGTCACACTGCCAACAGCAGGAGTAAAGGAAACAGTGCTCTGACAGCAGTAACCAGTGACAAACACAGCCTTCAATGCTTGGGCCCAGTGCATTCCCTGCCCGTGACAACCTGACAGAAGCACTAGTGTTAACATGACAGCCTGAGAAACAGCAGTAGGGAGGAGGACAGGGTTCAGAGAAAGAAAGAAGTGGAGGATAAGGATCCTGGAAACACAGTGGGAATGTCAGGAAGGGAGCTGAAGTAGAACTGTTGGAGGAGAGGGTTTGTGGGTTCACCTCAAACTGAGAGGGAGGAGTGTGGCTATGCTCTGTTGGCAGCACCTGGGCAGTGAGGCAGCTCCCATGTCCTAAGGCATAACACACACATCCTGCTCGCTCTCTCTCTCTCTCTCTCTCTCTCTCTCTCTCTCTCTCTCTCTCAGCTAGAAAGATCCAGGGGCTGCCAATGAACCTTTGGAATGCCATACCTAGAAAAGGATGCTTTACAAACTGGATTTGTTGGCCAGGTGCCTGCTCTTCAAACAGGATAATCTGTCAAATAGAAGAAGGTAAGGCAGCATGAGATTCAAGTCCTGCCTCTGAGTAAAGTGGCATTCAAAAGAAGTGCACTGGGAAACAGACGTGCTGTGGAGGAATTCACCTCATTTGATCCCGGTTGAAGCCAGGGTCCCGGGAGGTACAGAGTTTTCTGAGGACCTACATCCCAGTATCGTCCTAGGATTCTTCCATTGATAAATACGACTCCTTTCTTCCAGCCCTGAAAAAGATTAAACAGAAGATTCAGGATCTGAGTTTCAGATATGAAGACATGAAGGGTAAACACACATACCACTACATCTCACACACCACCGACACATCCAAGCACAGCACAATCCTACCCAAATGGGGTGAATTACCAACAAAAGTCCCACAGGAAAAGTGAACAGAAGGCCCTTAGGTCTCAGGAAAGAGGACAGACTGCTATCCCATCTCCCTGCATCTGCCTCAAGCCAGCAGACAGAATTTCTACACATCACGGGGTTTTTTGGCAAAATAGACCAAGCTCAAAACATAGCTGAACTGTAGAATCTCAGCTATGGTAGCCATTATGTTTTGCATGTCACTACATCCTGTCACAGATCTCATGGTGAGTTCATGAAGACCACATCCTGGGATACACCGAGGGACTCATGGGCCGACCCCCATGTGGTGCATTTTCCAACATCCCAGCTGGAAACAGCACTCAATTCTCAGTTGCACTTATTTTGCTTACATTTCACTGCTGCCTGTGCCCTCCCCGATGGCTGTAGGGTGACTGAGGTCCTTGGAGCTTGGTTCTCCTACCTGAGGCAGGGCTTATGCATTTAAGGTTCTTTGCAGGGTAGAAGTTGGAGGGCACAGGAGCAGGGGAAATGACACTAACCTCTAGTTTTATGAAGGTATCTTGAGGAAAATCACCGACTCTCAGGAAGGCAAGAAAAAAAGCTGGGCCCCGAGCTTCTTTTGTGACTGGTTTCCAGAGGCTGGGGAGTTTCCTGAGAGGGAGTCAAGGGCCAGCAGGAAGGTCATACCTTTCTAATGTGCTACCTTTGACCTTGAGGTCAGTCTCCTCCCTGAGCCTGGCTTTGTTGTCAAGTGCATAATGTAGTAAGTCATGAAACCAGGGCTGGGTGGATGGTCACCATACTGCTCCCAGAAACCCAGAAAATGTGGGGTAATATCCTTCCATGTCCCAGCGTTGTCTCTCCCATTGGAAGACCACAGCATCATCCATAGGACCTTTGAGGCTCAAGCTTCACCATGCCCACCATCCTTGATCAATGGGTTCCATGGTCAAACACTCACCTTTCCAGGAATAAAGTTTGCATCTCCAGGCTGTAGATTGTAAATCTTTTTAATGGAGAATTGTTCAGATAGATATCTCCAGTTAAACCTATGTGTGACAGCCAAAAGGGGAGCATGAAGGAGCAGGAAGAAGTAGAAATACACATGGCTTGAACCACAGCTTCCCCTAAAAGAGGCTGCTTTTCTGGCCTCATCAGGCTGGAGAGTTTCTGAAAACTCCTCCACTGATTTTTGCCTGTTTTTTGGTACTGGAGATGGCACTTGGCCTCATGCATGCTAGACAAGACCCAACCTCTGAGCTAGACCTGCGACCCTCCTGAGTGTGCATCTCCTGGATAGCACCTGCATCACCCACTTTACTAGCACAGTAGTTGCTGCAACTCCCACCCAGGGCCTCTGGCCAGCCTGACCACTCGGGTGTATCCAAGCACTTCAGGTAGGAAATGTGTGAACCATGCCCAGCAGTTCTGGGGTCAGGGGAAGGACATGCAGAGGCATCGTGTTCCACAGACAGAAGAGGCAAAGTCCTTAGGGAGGGACCCTAACTATTATTTTCCTCCAGGCATCATTACAGCTTTTCCCTGAGTAAGCCACATTCAAAACCCGCTGAAGAGAAAGGGCCATGTGCTGGCTCTGGTTTGGTAATTAGAGAACACAAAGATATCATCACAGTTTCCAAATGAAGATCTCCCACAGCCAAGAGAGTGTTCTCCCTTCCAGCACATGCTTGTCCACAATGTTCTCAGCCCAAGCAGGAGGCATCTGAACATGGATCCCACCTTTCCTCTCCGTGTTGATACGAGGCCCATTGGCAAGTCGGCCTTGATTCTCCACCAGGATCCTCAGGAGATAGGTGCCCCGGGAGGCCTGTGTAAGGTAGAACCAGCAGAGTGAGTAGCACAGCCAAGGACCTGACTAGAGTGGCTAACAGCTGATGTGATTCAGAGCCCTGTGGACCTCCAGCCCTGGGCCAAGCAAACTCTTGGGCTCCTGCTCCACCCTACAGGCCAGGCCTTTAATGGAAGGAAAAGTCACTTAAACATTTTATCAGAGACCCTAAGGGACTGGTAATTGACCCAGAGTTTTTGAGTATCAAATGTTCAAAATAGAAAACTGCTTACCAAAATGAAATCTACCAGCACCTCAGAGCTGTGCACAGCCCTCCCCTTGTCTCTGCTGGATTCCTCTGCAAGGGGCAGTCCACAGAGCAGTGGAGGAGAACATGGATTATCCAAGGGCCAGGGCACACTTACAACTGGGTGTAGAGCCTAGCAGACACTAGAACTATTTGTCCATTAACATAGAGTTACACCCATGCTAATACACAGCTTTATATATACCTCAATATTTAGCCTATCAGTGAAATGATCCAGGATTCCTACAAACTTCTCATTTAAAAACACCTGCAAAAGAAAGAAGAAAACATTGTTAGTTCCTCTATGGGAATGGAGGGAGCAGACAGAAAAGCAAAGAACATAGCATTCTAGAATACTAATTAACTTTCTGTCCTCGGAACCCTTCAAGTTCCCCACAAGTTCATCAAAACAGATCATATTTAAAGCACTACAGTAATGAGATGCACAAGGTGAGGCCTGTAGAAAGGTGTCCTGACGTGAAAGCTGGGGCCCAGTCCATGCAGCACAAGGAGAAGGGAAATTAAAAAGACCAGAGAACAAGGAATTGGAGAAACCAGGAAGGTGGAGACCAGTCCATACTGGGGAGGAAATGCTGGCAAAGAGAAGGCATGGGAATTCTTAGGACAGCAATGGCTGAATGCAATCATTCCCCTGCTTTCAACTCTGTACTGACCTAACCACCAGGAAATCTGTTAAGTGTCCCCAGATTCTTATCTTACCGCCACCACTCTACCTGTTGGTAGTCACCACTGAAGGTAAACCCAAGTCTATTCTGTTACCTCCCATACTGTGTTGGCCCCAGATTAAGCCACGCAGAAGACTCAACTAACTATGCAAGGCAGATAAGGACAACTTGTTTTAACTTATATTAGATCACAACTTTTGTGTGAAATTTGGCTAGTGAGTGAAAATTAAAAATTCATAAGTGTTCAAAACATAAGGATATTAATAAATGGAACAGAAAGATTATTTACAGATTTTAAACTTTCACTCACTAGCCTAATGACAAGGTTTTTTTCTTTAACTCTATTACAGCTCTCACAGTTTTCCTCTTAGCATTATGGTTGGTATCACTAACTTTCTTTGGAGCCAGAGTTACAATATTTTATACAAATAAAGCAAAAAAAAAAAAAAGCACAGTGATGACTGTAGTAGGGCACTCCCACAGCACCGCATGCTGCCTGGGTCAGAGCGGAGCTGACACTGAGGCATCGCCCTTTGTGTCCCAGCGGAGACCCGTACAGGATGCACTCTCAGCCTGTACAGGATTTTTAAGTCAATCAAGCAAAGTAATGAACACCAAGCAGATATTTTTCTAACTCTGCTGTTCCAGTAGTGGAAAGTTTGGGCTTTGAGCCACTTGTGGGAAATCGGCTTTGTCTCTGCTATCAAAGCCCAAGGGGAAAACAACTCCATTTTGAATTTCAGTGACCTGGCCATCTACCACTATTTCCCCGCCCATTAGTGTCCTGAGCTCCGAGAAATGGTGACTATGTACTTCTCCTTAAAACACAACTAGTACGCAAGATAAGAACCAAGGACATTTTGTCACCACAGGCTCCTTCTACTCTCCCACCACCACTTGAATTAGCTAACTGTAATTAACAGACTGTAAGCCTTTGAATTCGGCCAATGAATTTAAAGGCCAGTTGCTTCTCCTGCATTAGGAATACAAGAGGCAACTCTCCTTTGCCTGCACGCCTGCCGCCTCATGTTTGCACCCTTCTGCAGCAGTCACATGGCCTGTCAAGATTGTTTGATGTCTACGTGCTTTATTATCTAGACCTGTAATTTGAATCTGGGGGCTTATTTCTAACATGTTTGCCTATCAAGGTACCTCTGTACTTGCATAAATTTTAGCAGGCGAACATTTCCAATCCCCAAATTTGAAATCTGAAATTTTTTGAGCATGATGGTGGCACTCAAAAAAGTTTCAGATTTTTGAGCATATCAGATTTTGAACTTTCAGATGAGGGATGCAAAGGCTTGGATAAAGATGACGTGGAAAATTTGAAGAGCAAGAAATTTTAATCAACTCTAGAAAGGACAGCTGTGACTTGAAGGAAGCTAAAGCCTACTGATTCAGCTCCAAGCCCTTCGAGTTGAGTATCCTTTGAAAGCCACTTAATTTCTCTGAGGTTCCCTTGTTTGTATAAGTAGATAGGTATCGTAAGAGTTAAATATGGTTTTAAATCCCTTTCCCCTCCTCTGCCCCTCCAGTTCCCCAACGCAATTTTCACCTTTGTTGATATTATTTGTCTTAGCTCATGTTATGGCCTATAATCTTCACATTAATAGTGGCTGTTAGGGTCCCGCACTTGGCATATCTTTATTCTTAATTTCTGCTTCCCCTCGTTCTCAGCCCTTGACCTTGTTCTCTTAGATCACTTCCCTGTTGAAAGAGATCCATCCCATTGTCCTTTCTCTCCATCCTTTATCATTTTCTCTGCAATTTGCCTCACTTGAATGAGAGACACCATACAGTATTTAAGCTTGTGTCTCATTTCACACATTATATTTCCCAGGTGCATCCATTTTCCTAGTGTCTCAAATTTACCATTCTTTATAGCCAAATAGTATTCCATTACAAATAGATAGCACTTTGTCAAATCGTCTGTTGGTGTTTAGAAACCATATATATATATATATATATTTGTCTTTTTTTGAGATAGGGTCTCACTGTGCAGTTCAGGCTGGCCTTGAGCTCACTTTGTAGCCCAGGCTGGTCTCGAACTCACAACGATCCTCCCACCTCAGCCTCCCTAGTGCTGGGATTACAGGCATGAGCCACCACGCCCGGCTATGCATATTTTGAAGGTAGTGTGTAGTATGATTCCTCCAGCTTTGTTCCTTGTGCTCAGAATTGCTCTGGCTCTTCAAAGTCATTTTGGTTCCACACACATTTTCAAAGTTTTTTTTTTCTGTCCTTTAAGACCGTTACTGGTATTTTAATCAAGGGTGGTGGTGCACCTGTGTAATCCCAGCACTTCAGGAAGCTGAAGTAGGAGGACCGAAAATTCAAACCTAGCTTAGGCAATTTAGGAGACCAGGTCTCAAAAATTAAAAACAAATAAAAGGCCCAGTACCACACCCAACAGAGTGGTGATTTGGCTAATTTTAATGTATGCATACTCTGTTAATTTTTAAATTACATACTCTAGTAAACATGTGTCATCTTCTAAATGAGAAATCTCATGAGGAAAATGTTGGGAGGCTGAAGCAGGAAGCCCTGGGAAATTTAGTGAAACTCTGCCCCCAAGTAAAAAATAAAAAAAGGCCAGGGCACACATCTACAGTCCCTTTACTCGGTAGCTGCTTTTATTTTTGTTTTTGTTTTTGTACCTGGAATAGTCCCATTACTAGTAGGAGGATCACTGTGAGTTCAAGGCCTGTCTGGGCCACACAGCAAGACCCTGTCTCAAAAAATAAAAAACAAACAAAAGTCTTGGGGGAGGAGACTCAGGGGGAGAAGACCCTGAGTTAAATCCTCAATACTACAAGAAAAAGAGAGAGAAAAAGAAAGAAGCTGGACATGTTAGTAGATGCCTGTGGTCCAGTTCCTGAGAAGCTGAGGCAGAAGGATCACAAATGCAAAGCCAGTCTGGGCTACACAGTGAGTTCAACACTCACTATAAGTTCAAGTCTGCACTGCATGGCAAGACCTTGTATCAAAAGAAAAAAAAATGTCAAGAATAGTGAATCTGGGAAGGCAAAGGGAAAATGTGAAAATCAGCTTTGGTGCTAGTGTTTTCTTTTTCCCTTCAGTTTTTGATTTGTCTAGGAAATAAATTGGCAATACACAGATTAACAGGAAAAGAAATAAATTAATTAACATTAAAACACGGGGCAGGTGGTGTGGCTCAGGGGTAGCGCATTGAGTGTGTGCTAGGCCCTGGGTTCAGTGCTCAACAAAGGAAGGAGAAAGGGAGAAAAGGTGGAAGGGGAAGAAGGGAGAGGGTGCACGAGAGACAGAGACAAGAGAGCATAAGCCCAGGTTGTGACAGGTCTGCAATCCTGGCACCATAGAAGGCTGAGGCAGGAGAATCACAAGTTGGAGCCTAAATTAGTAATTCAGGAAAACTGTCTCAAAATAAAAATTTAAAGAAAGAGAGTTAAATATGAAGAGCTAACTGTTAAGCTGGACATGGCAGCCCATGCCTGTAATCCCTTGCATTTGCATGGCTGAGGCAGGAGGATCATTACAAGTTCAAGACCAGCCAAGACTATACAGTGAGCTCAAGCCAAGCTGAACTGCATAGCGAGACAAAAAAGAACAAAAAAGGAAAGAGCTAACTGTTAATATGCTATGAAAACATTAGGAGTTGATATATAATAATTATGGGGACACTTAAGCTTTTCCCAGATCTTCCCACCCCTGGCTCCCTTAAGGCCCAGGAGCCTCCAGTGGGTACCCACACACACCAGACACCAACAGTAACAATGGACTACTGTTTAGACTTTCACCTCAGCAGGCGCTGGGTAACAAGACAACAGACAAGTCCACTAGGACTTGTTCACAGTACTCTACCTGCCCCCGGTCTTGAAGATGGCCCTTTGAGGTCAGGAGGCCTCCTCTGTAGATGGTAGTCTCGTAAAGTATGTAGCCGGATGACTGGCCACTCCCTTGATTCACAGACAGCCACTCCATAGAGACCGGCTTGGCAGATGTGATGGGCTATGGCGGAGACAGAAGCAACAAACAAAGGCAGAGTTTGGAGAGAGTCTCCAAACTGCCACCCAAAGCCCACTTCTCCAGCTTCACAATCAGGGATCTAGGGAATGGGAAAGGGTAACCATGTTTGCGTGTGCAATGTAAAATGCCCCCTTTTGTTTTCCAAACTAGCCTCACATCTTTCTACATTTACCAGCAAGTGAAATATTCTTATATTCTAGAAGGAATCCCAATACAGCTATGTCCGAGTCTACACGGCCTTCTCTTCTCTTCCCCTTTGACATCTTCTAGGAGAAACCAGCCCAGCCCACAGTCTAACTTCCATGCTCTTTCAGCAGCTGTATTTCTAGCACTGACTTACAGTACTCCACAGCGCTTTAGCCTCATATTTCCTGGACTTCTCTATCTAGCCATGTTACCTGAATGTTTGCAAGAGACATCCCTAGCCAGATCCTTTTCCTTTAAGAAGGACAACATCATCCATCTAGTCAAGAAGAAAATATGGAGTCCTCTCCTCTTTTACTATATCCTACGCCATGCCAATCAGTCAGTGTCTCTCTTAGAGAATGGCTCTAAATGAGCTGCTTCATTAATCTGTATAGCTATATTACAGGATTGATAACTCATGAAGAAAAGTTCTTGTGTGTGGGAGAATTCAAATGAACAGATGCAGAGGGAATTAAAGAATCTGAATAGCACTTTCAAGGCCTTTAATGAAATACTGTTTAATTACCAACACCGGGCTAATCTTGATTCACCTGTACGTTAGTCCGCCCTCCCTCCAGGATAATTTGAAAGCAGATCCCATACAAAAAAAAAAAAAAGCAGATCCCATACATCACAGAATTTCAGCGACACATAGTTCTATATGTATCTCAATAGAGGAAGACTTTAAACAACTATACAATCATCATCGCAATAATAATAGCAAAAATTACACTAATTCCCTTAAAGCAGTGTCTTGCTTGGAAATGTTTAGCAATTGTCTTTCTAGAAGACAAAAGCCTCTAAATTGCAATGTTTGCAATTTCTGTGGTATAAACACTCCCACTACAATTCATTTTAATGCAGTACTTATCAATGACTATTAAAAGCATTAGGGAAAAATCTGATGAAAAAATTGAAAATGAATAGGTAAACTAATGTACCTGAACTCTCTGATAAATTATGAAACCAGAAATGACCAGTATTATATGCATAAGAGATGATGCATAAATAGCACATCAGTACCTGTGAGGCTGAGGCACAGAGTGCAAAATCAAGCCCACCCTGGGCAACTTATGACTTAGCAGAAACTTGTCTAAATAAACAAATAAATAGGAATTGGGAAGTAGCTTATTGTGGAGCTCCTGAGTTCAGTCACTAACACACACACAGTACGATAGCACCACCTACAAAGTATTCTTGCAAACAAACATATTTAAGTAAACCCAACTTAAAGATTTTAGATCAAAATATCAGTGTACATAAAATTCAGGGAATTGAAGACATGTTACCTGATACATGAAAATCTAATATATAAAACAAAATCCAGAATATAGAGAATTGTAGTACAAATAACTCAGCTTTTTTAACAAATAAAATAAAATCTTGGGCTGGGAATTTAGCTCAATGATATAAGCGCCTGCCTGGCAAGCACAAGGTGGTAAGCTCGACCCCCAATACCAAAAAAAAAAAAAAAAAGAAAGAAAGAAAGAAAGAAAAGAGAAGTAAAAAAAGTCTTTAAAGATACTTAAGAGATCTATAAAATCCAATATGCGATGGTGCTCATTTCCTGAAATTAACAAATCAATTCTTTAAAAAGTTATGAGACGATTGAGGAAACGTGCACACAAGACATTTTATTACTTTAAACAGTGATGCAGTCAGTATTAGGCACAGAAACAGCCTGCTCTAGCATTTGAGAGCCATCCATGAATGTATCGTCCCAATTCATGTTAGTAGCTTGGAATTAGCCATTGTGGGAATACCTACACCACAGAAATTGGCAACATGAATATTTTTCTTCCAGAGAACTAGTTGCTAAACATTTCTCAGCACATAACTCATTTGACGAAATTATTATTACTCATATTAACAGTGATGTCTTAGCTCTCCACTGCTATGACAAATACCTGAGAATGATTTAAAGGAAGAAATATGTATTTTGGTTCATGGTTTTAGAAGTTTCAGTCCATGATCACTGTTTGTAGTGGGCCAGAAATATCATCCCACTAGGACATGCATGGGAATGGAAAGCTACTCATCTCATAGCAGACAGGAAACAGACAGAAAGGAAAAGAGTTCCAGAAGAAGGGGCTAAGGCCAAATATACCCAGTGACCTGATTCATCCAATGAGGCCCAAACTCTAAGACACCTACTGAGAATCTGTGAACTAACCATTAATGATGTTAGAGCTCTCAAAGTCCCCCTCTGTAAACACTGCTACATTGGGGACCAAGCCCCCACACGTGAGGCTTGGGGACCATACAGCCAAATCACAACAGGTGACAATGGTTTTTTTTAAGTCTTTACCTACATATATAGTTAAAGTTGAAATTATATAATGCCTTGGATCTGCTTTTAAATAATCTTATACAGGGTAGGGAGAGAAGGATAGGATATAGTGGTAATGAGATGGGCCGGATATTGAAGTTTCAGCTGGATGTTGGGACAGGGGCTTTCTACTATTCACTCCATGTTTTAAAACTTCATAGGAAAACCTTGAAAATCCAACCCATGAAGGTCCTCACTGGCTCCCTTCCTTACCCTGTCCCGCACAGAGCTTATACTCCACCTCCATGGCAGCTCCTGGGACACATCACTTCCTCCTGGTCTCTGCACCTGGAGCCCAGAGTACCTGGGTACCTTCCCCTTCCTTCCACATCTACCATGCCATCTGCACCCAGTCACCCTTTGGGTCCCTGAATCACCTATCGGGATCTCAAGACTGTCCATCCTGATGACCATGTCTCTACAAAAATAATGACAGCCCACCTACTTAGCACCTTTTTGTGATAGGTGCAGATATTAGCTATTTAACCCATACCATCCAGTGAGGTTGATGCAATCAGCCTCTTTTACAGATGAAGAAACCTAAGCAGAGTGCAGTTAAATGAGGTCACATAGCAGCTGAGTGCCAAGGTTCAGACCCTGACAGGGACTCAGGAGAAATGTTCTTTAGCATGGCTTCTTGTTTCCTTGACCTGTGATCCTCCAATGCTTTATTCATTGTTCCTTCTCATTAGACTGCATTTGCCAAAAACAACACCTTGATAATCTAGTTCCTAAAACATCACTCACTCAGTGAATGTCACAGAACTAAGCATGTAAGTTTTTCCCAAAACAGTTTTTAGACTGTGTTCCTCAGAATTCTGGGGCTAAGTTGTAAGTAGTGCTATTTTACAAAAGGCATGGCTGAGCCGTAGGAGGAAAGCACAGAGTTCCAGAACCAGCACCCCTGATTTATGTCTCACACACTGAATTACACAGCAAGTTTGGAGAAAGAGTTTAAAGATCGTTCCCTTAGATCCAGTCAGTGCTCCTTCACTCTCCTGACCTTCAGAAAGCAGGAACCTCTGGCCAGTGAGGTAATGAGAAGGCAGTTCCCAATATTCTGCAATGCATATACAATATCTTCAAATTCAAAAATCTACTCTGACTTCATATGCTAAGTCTCTTTTTCTGAACTGTAACATTAGGACGAGAAACCAACACTTTCAAGGATTGCTTTTTGTTCGCTATCATTTGCTCTGTGTTCTTTGAACTAAGCCTTTCATCCCTCTTTTCCAAAAGTTTTCCCACATGTGTATGCCCAGGAAGTGCTCACCCTGTCCAGGAGGGGAAGGATCTCCCACAGCGTCATGAAGTTCAGTCGTGTCAGGGACTTGTAGACAACCTTTGACACGCGTTCTAGGGGGGAGGTCGTGGGGACACCTGCAATGAAAGCACACAGTTAGATGATCCCAGAACCCTTGCCCAGTCCCATCCTTGAGAAGTTCTCTGCTATCCCTCAGCCACCAGAATGAGGGCCTAGTCACAGGGCAGGACTTGTGAATTACAGGATGAGTCAAGGAAGACTCACACCTATTAGCTGTGAGGCAGAGCCCTGCTACCCTGGCGTAGGAGGAGCATGTCGGTCCCACTTACTGGATCAGCAGCTGTCAACCCTGGTCCTCAGAATCTACACTTCTCTTCTTGGAACCTCTGGATTTTATCGGCACCACAAATGATTCCATGACCAGCAAATACCAAGTGGTATGGTTCGGGTGCTGATCACCACCAGAGCGGCACTTCACCCCAAGCATATCCAGGGCCCAACGATAAAATAATGGGAACAAACTAGACTTCACCCTAAGACATCTCTCCTACTTCCTCTCTTCCCTCTTCACAGACAGAGACTACTTGGGAAGGCTGAGTCACCACTCATACTGATATCCTCAGTGAGTACCTGTAACAGAGTGAAGAAACTCCTGAAATACGTAATACTCAGGTGTGTAGTCTCCATCTTCTGACAGCAGCGCTCCATAGTCTGGAAGTACAGTTTATGAAGTACAGAGAAATTTGTCATTTTCTCGTGAAAGCTTTGCTTTGGGTTCTTTTCCCAAGAAGTGATGAAAGCTTAATGTAGAGCAAAAAGAGCCTCAATAAAGCAGCTTTGGGAGGAAAAACTGTGCATTAGATAAGAAAATTCCATGTCCCTATTAATCCAACTTAAGGCCTTCAACGGCAGTCAAATTACACCAACCCATGGATTTCTAATGGTTACTCCCTAAGAGTCTGAGGTCTCTGATCCAGTGATTTTTGCTTCCTTTCCCATTTCTAAGTGAACTTTTTTTTATTCACCGTTGATTTCCCATAGGGTCTTTTAAATCTGTGTACCTGGGAAGACATTTGAACACACCCTGGTGCCATCGGGAGACCTAAAGCAACTGCTGCTGCAGGGAACTTCTAATACAAGGATCTACACAGCAGATGAACAAGCTTAGCCTGTTAACTGCTCTGCCTGCAAAGCCCCAGAAACCCTAATTCAAGTGGTAAACACTTGCCCTAGAAACAAAAAAAAGAAAAAAAAAAAAGAAAGTTCTCAATCCCCAGTATATATTCACAGCAAAAAAAGATGAGCAGTGCCAAAGAAAGTCCTCAGGGGCCTCCCCTGAGAAGCTCCAGGCTTCAGTGATGTGGTGCCCTGGCGGGAGTCATTGCTAGGGGTAAGTACTTGCCATAGCTGGTGACTGCAGGGAGATAAACGTCCAGAGACTCAGCTCCACCCATGAAGCCGAAGTTGGTACCACCATGGAACATGTAGAAGTTGAGGGAGAACCTAAGCTTGAACATTTCACGCACATCCTTCATTAGTACTGCACAGAAAAGCAAGGAGCAGGGGAGGGAAATACCATTTGAGAGAATTGATAGTTCCTCACTGGATTTTCAAATCACCACAGTAAAATTATTTAAGCTCTACCAAGATCTTATGCCCAGAAATTGTGGGAGATGACCCAGATCCTTCTCAAACATAGAAGACTGGTGACATTATTCCCAGATTCACATTCATAACCTAAAGTTACTTGTTATTTTTTCCTCTGAGTTTCACATTTGTGAGGGTTTTTCTAGCATACAAATGATACCTACCAATTATTTCCTTGTATCTTTGTTCTTAGATACTTATATGGTTAGTTTAATGTTTGTAAGGCACCTACTAACTTCTAACAGTTACTGATCTGAAATTATGGCACCAGAAATTTACCTTCAACTCTTATTGTTTTAACAGTACTGCGGATTAGACACAGGGTCTTTGCACTGTAAAGCTACATCCCCGTAACTTTTTCTTTATTTTTATTTTGACACAGAATCTCACTAAGCTGTCCAGGCTGCACTTAAATTTAGAAACTCTTGCCTCAGCCTCGCAGAGTGCTGAGATTTAAGGAATATGCCACCATACTCACCTTCAAACTGCATTTTAATGATTATCAATTCTCCAGGGAAGATTACAGAATTAAAATCAGCTAATCTTGGGTGAGATAACTTTTTTACTTTCATCTGACACACTTTCATTGGGTCTCCCTATTTGATAGAACAGCCCATTTTAATTACTTTGCAGCCTTAGTAAAATATATTTATAATAGAAACAGCTGAAACTTAAATTTCAGTTACAATGCCCTCTGGGCATTCACTGTGTTGTCATCTTACCCCACCGCTGTGTGTGAGGTGCTCATGAGATTACACTGATGTTTATAGAGTTTGAACTTCTAGGAGCCTTGTCCCCCAGATTTCAAGTGCTAAATCAGCAGGAAAAACAGGCTAGTGCCATCTGCATTGCATGTTTTCCCAAGACAGAAACTAATATAACTCACCCTGTGCATCCTGACTGCGGCGGATCCTACCCCACGTGTCAAAACCACTTGCTGTGTATACCATAATCAGTACAGGGCCACGACCCTAGAAAACCAAGTATCAGTTCAGAAATTATGATGCAATTCTGAATCTCTGACTGGCTTAGAAGGGAGCTGTGAAGTCCAGCTCTCAACACCCCCTCTGCACCCACAGCACCCTGGCCTGGCTCATGAACTGGGTTCTCCTCTCATCCCTACACTACTGTTCTGATCTTGCTCTTCTTCTTAGGTTTTCAAAGGTCATCTTGTCCAAGCCTTGGCAGAACCAACTGCAATTTCAGTATTGTCCTTTCTAAAATGTCCTATGACAAAATCCAAAACACTTCCTTTTTTTTAGGCAGAGTGCTTAAATTTTAGTACATTCTAATAGAGACTAATGTATGCCTGATAATCTAATGATAATTTGTAAGTTTGGTAAATCACAGTTTTCGAAAGCACATAGTATTGGCATTGAAACAAAGCATGAAAGTGGTGTCTATGTCTTTTTTTATAAGCCTTGGTAAATTTTTTTATTTTAAAAAGTATAAAACAGAATAAAACTAATCAAAACAAATCAGTATAAAAGATACAGGACTTTAAAACATTAGGAAATCAACAATAGTTACCATAATGCCTTTTGAGGTCTTCAAAATAGCTACAGATAACTTCGGACATAGTAAAAATCAAACAGAACAGAATAAAATAGAAACAATAAATATAATAAATGATTTCAAAACAAGCCAATAGTAAATCCAAAATTGCTACCATAATATATCTTGCTATCTTTGAAGTAGCTGCTCCGGCCATCAGATTTGACATAATCAAAAAAAACAAGAGAGAATCAAACAACTCAACCCAACAAAACAATAGAAATCATATAGGACTGCCAAAATAAGACCATAGGGAATCAACAATGGCTGCAACTCTCAGAAGAAGAGCCCACTAGATGTCACAATGTGTACCGATATCTTCTGAACCTATGATCAGACCACTAGCCCTGGACTTGCAATATTAGTGAAACACCAAAGCACCACAGGCATCCAACTGCATTTCACCTCCATAGCTATCATCACAGCCTGTGTTTCTCCAGATGAGCCTGTCGCTTATAGCAGGAGTGGGAGCGGAGGTTGGTACTTCTTGTTTGTAAGGCCCATGCCAGAATGGGCTGGGGTCTGTCTGGTCCAGTTTACGGCTAGCCTGCACATGGTTCTGGTTCCCAGACTAGGCTACATTGCTGGTGTGGCTTTGTTCTATCTCCAGTGCATGAATGGCAGCCTTGATCAATTTTGAAAACTCAACCATGAATTTTTAAAAATCAGAAGAAAAGGAAAGTAAATGTCTCCCCCAACATGTAAGAACCACCTGTTGGCACCTGCATTTTAAATGCATGGAACACAATGGGCCAGATTCTCAAAGGCAATTAATAACAGCTTGCACAAATTCTTGTACAACTGTCTACCACCACGTCATATAAAAGTAAGCACTCTGTGGAAGATACAGTTGAGTTTTCTCAGACTGTCCCACTTCTACCAGGCAATGATAAACACGCATGCATGCTTGTCCTACTGAAGCAGCAGAAATAACCTAGGTTCTAAAATAGCTGCTCAGACAACAGCAGAAGAGTTCCTCCCCCTCAACAGAGGGTGCAGGGTACACTGGAAGGTACCAATGTCCTTGACGAGGAGCAAAGATCTCTTAAGAGCTCCATTTTCCCAGTCCTTTTTAACCTCACATGTCAATTCTTTGTATTGCTAAATGTATTATGGCTAATTATGACTGTATTTATGCCACAGAAACATTTATGACACAATCTCCCAGTGTCTTGGCCAGTCTCTTCCTTGCCGAGACACAATATCTGACACTCAATTCTTAAGGGAAAGGTTTATCTTGCCTCATGGTTTCAGAAGCTCCACTGGACTCCACAGTGGAGTCCATAAACGCACATATAAGATGGTGGAAGGGCCTGGGCAGAAAAAAGCCACTCACCTCAGGGTGGCCAGGAAGCAGCACAGAAGGGGAATCCCAAGGGAGATCAACCTTCCTAGGCAGTGTCACCACAGTGACTGTCTCATCTCAAAAGGCCAACCTTCCAACAGCAAGGCAGTGGTTTCACTTCCAGGATTCAGTCACCTTCCAAAGGTGCCTAGGAGTGCTTGAGGCCACGTGAGCACATTCTTGATCCAAACCCCAACACCTAGGCAGGCCTGATCTAGTATTATTTCCTTAAAGACAAAGTATACTTACTTTACATAATCCCATCGGTTTTCCTTTGTTCTTTATTTTTTCTTTTTACTATATAACTTGTTACTCATCAAGGCAAAATGTAGGCAAATTATCAAGTAGACCCCAAAACATATTTCTTACCTAGAGTAACATCTGAAAACTTAAGACTTTATTATATGGTCTGGTGAAAATTCATTCAGTGTTGGGGCTGATCTAATCACATCCCTCAACACGCGTGTATCTTAAAAAAAAAAGTTGTGGTTTTTATATGCTAATTGATACATTTACAGCAAATTAACCCTTCTGAGTAAATGAAATGAGTATCTAACCATAAACACACTGTATGTGGCTAATGCGTATGTTTACTACAGTAAAGGGAGCAAGGAATTCACATTCTGCAACAGATATGTAAAATTATATCAGCAAACCACTTTGTAGATTAGTGTCTCACAAAATCTTGTTCCATGGGGCTAGAAAATGTCTTTTTTTATGCATCATCATGTCTCATCAAAGGCTTTGTGTTAAAGCCTTTGATGAGACATTTTCCCTAAATATTATGTAATTCTTTAACTTTCCCAGGAAAATATAAAAATGTATTAAATGTTGCTGAACAAAAAGATTATTGTTGTTTTTTTAAAATGTTGCTGTAAATTTAAATTGTGACATAGCTGGTGTTTTAGAGTTGCACATCTATAGAAAATAACTATAAGGGCTGGCAATTTAGCTCAGTGTTGTAAGTGCCTGTCTGACAAGTGCAAGATCATGAATTTGATCCCCAATACCAAAACAAAAACAAACAAACAGAAAAAGAAAAAAAAAGAAAAAAAACTATAAATATACTAGCACCCAGTATCTTGAATACTAGTTGATTTCAAAAATCAGTCTTAAAATCTGATTCATTTGGGGCCTGAGGGGAGTAACAAGAAGAATAAGAAGCCAATTTGCCCTTCCCATGACCCAGCACAAGCAATGTGGATGCTGGAGGAGAACAAGCCATATCTGCCCTTCCTGTGAGTCAACAGAAGCCACACTGGGCCTGGGGAGTAACAAGAAGAATGGGAAGCCAATTCACCCTTCTCATGAGCCAACTGGCATGTAGTCTGGGAGACAGGACCTTCCCCACCCCTCATGGTAGGCACTCAGCTGATCTGGAAAAGAGACTGAGTTGATAGCATCTGAAATCCCAAAATAACTTAATGCTTCTATTGTTTTACTGACTTTTCAGGCCTTCGGCCAGTAATCTGAGCATCTATTGAGAAGATAACAATATATAATATAGCAAATATGGGGGATTTCCTTCTGTCTTGTTTTTGAAATCTAATATTGCTCTCACTGTTTTGTTCCATTCAGTGTTTTGTTATATTCAATGTTATGTTTTGGTTTCATTTTGTTTTGTCTAGTTTGATTTTATTATGTCTGATAGTATGAACAGCAATTTTGAAGATAACAAGAAGCATTAAGATAGCCATTGTTGATTTCCTATTATCCTGTTTTGAAATCTTGTATCACTTGCACTGTTTTGTTTTGATTAGCTTTATCCTTTTATTTTTTGTTTTATTCTCTTTAAAATATACTTTCATTCTTTTATTTTGATTGTTGTATTCTGTTTAGTTTGTTTGATTTTATTATGTCTGATAATGTGGACAGCTATTTTGAAGAAAATAAGAGATACTATGGTAGCCATTGTTGATTTCCTATTATCTTGTTTTAAAGTTCTGTATCCATGGGGCATGGTAGTATATGCCTGTAATATCAGCACTGAGAAGGTTGAGGCAGGATGAGCACTGTGGGTTCAGGGCCAGCCTGGGCTACGAGTGAGTTCAAGACCAGCCTCACTACACAGTGAGACCCTGTCTTAAAAATAAAACAACAACAACAACAATAACAAAATTTCAAGAAACTCATACATTCTAGAGTCTTAGGAAAAAGAGCTGCTAAATGCAAAAACAGGAGTTTCTACTCATATACTGCCTTTATCCTTAGGCAGTAACTCCAGCTTTCTGGTTCATTTATGGGATATTTATTATAGAATTGCATAGATATAATATAGCCATATCTTGCATGTTTCAGTTCCAAAGAAGATTGCCAATGCCCTTTTTTTTTTTCTGGTAACATTCCAGGAGGTACTTTGTTTGGGCTTCATAAACCCTCAGTCTCCTGATCATTGTTTGTAATTCACCAACCTCATGTTGAACCAGAGTCTCTCATATGATTACCAAAGCCTGCAGTTTTGGAAGCATTGAATCTGATAAAGTAGACTCTGCCCCTGCCTAGACGAACCAGCCAGCAGGGAGGCATTGTATTTTTTGCAGAAACAGGACTGAACAGGATGGAAGGCACACAGTATTGAAGCACTTGGAAGGCAATAGCTTTATTACACCTAGTTCCAAATCACCAGCCCTGGCTTAGAGTTAAACAGAAACTTAAATATGTTGAAAGCAGGAAGTACAAAATCTGAGAGTAGGTTATTTTAAAGTTGGTTACATACGTATTGTCATACGTTGTTAGGTAGATTCATTTTGTGCAGGTTTAGTTGGGGGGTTTCTTGTCATATAGTAGGAAGGTCAAGGGTAAAATCAATCATGTCTTTGATCGAGCTAGTCTGTCTCTGGGTGATAAATCCTTGAAACAAGCTAGTACAACAGGACGTATTTACAGGCTGGGTTACATTTATCTTGTAAGTTGATGTCAACTGAGTTTGACAGTAAAACTGTGAGATGGGCGGGGCCTGCAGATCCCATCCTTAGCAGAATTTCAGCCTGTGAGTTTTAAAGTTTCTGCCTCAGCAAAATGACCTCAGTGGATACATCCAAGTTAATAACTGCATCAATATGAGACACTCTA